AAAAAAAAAAAAAAAAAAAAAAAAGGACTGAACCATAAAGGGCAACCTGGCCCATGATAGGTGAAAAGTAGCTCATTCCTCATAAATAAGCAAGAGCCCAGCCCAAAACCAATAAAAGGACCTGCCTTCCTTTGTTCCCTCTCTCTCTTCCCTCTCTCCCCCTAACCTGCCTTCCCAAATAAAATCTCCTGTTGGATCTCTCAGTGTGTGGCCTAGTTGTTGAGCATCACTGTGCCTCTGCTTTGGTGTCAGATGTGGGATATGGGATTGCTGGTGCCCTGTCTTAGGGTCAGAGGCCTGAAACCCAAGAACCCTGATGCTCCAACTAGCCCACCCAAAGTCCTTGACCAACTTCCCTTATGCCATCCCTTCCAACAACACCAGCACAGTTGATCCCATTGCCCCCAGACTTTTGGGTAAGTCCCCTCGTGACAGTCTAGGGTGTGTGGGGGGCTCAAACTCAGGTGACCAGGAGAGAGACTTCCACCCAGGATGTGATCCAGGTACCAGGCCTCACGACTCCCATTGTGAGCCTCCAGGAGGCTCACTAGGACAAGTCCAGGACTTGCTCATTCTGCCCCCACCTCTCTTGGGATGCCTCAAGAAGTTGGTATGGCCCTCCATTCCAAACCTCTCTTTATGGTAGAGACATCTCCATCTGGAGTCTGGGTCTCCCATTTCTAGATTCAGAATCTTGAAACCAAACCAGTGACATCCAAATCTCAAGACGTCTTGGGATTTGGACTTCACCCCCACTGTCTTGTTCTGGTCACTCTGGGCTCTGGTTCTTCCACACCTGTGGACTCTCCCTTGAGGTGCCTGCTCTCAATTCTGGAGGGTTTAAACCTAAAACATGAATGACTAATATGCCTCTCCACTCAAATCTGACCTCAGTATCAGTTAGACAACCAAAGCGTGTGGCTGCCTAATTGCTGACTTGAACGTGGTCTGATTCAGGACCTTATAACTTCTAAGAGCATCAGGGAAAATGGTCAGAGATTCCGTATGTTCAGGGCTTCTATTATCTCCACAGCCAGCCCTCTCTTTGCTCTCTGACTCAAAAACCTCCCCTCTCCAAACTTTTAGTGGCTCAAGATATCTCTGCTTTCACTAATCTTTGTTTCAACTCCTCAGATAAAATTAATCCAGCTGATGCACCTCCCCCTTATCTCAGAAACCAGGATAAAACAAACAATACCCCTCAATCTCCTCCTCTGGCCTCCTCCTCTCTCCCACTCCCCCTCCTGTCTGTACCTCACCTCCCCCTGCTCCACCTTTAGAGCCAACTCCTCCTCTCACCCTCTCCAAATCTCATTTTATGACAGAACTACCCCCCATCCTTCACTGCTAATCCTGCTACTTTCATCAAACAATTTCAGAACAACCCAGTCTAGGAGCTGTTCAAGCTTGTGCTCCATGGCAATTAACTGCTAATGAAAACTATTTAGTTTTGGTCTTAAAACAACTGCTTGCCAAATCTGCTGTTTTTCACATGGTGAACTTGCCTCTCTTAGAAAATGTGACATTATTGTAGGCAACTTGCAGTGTTTTCTCTTTGAAGGAGGTTAAGTTTCCTTCCCCTCCCCTAGTTCCTAAGATTGAAGGTGTGGAGGAGGTGGGGGCAAAAACAGAGTTGCTTAGCTTACTGCACTGGAGGGTGCAGATGGGATAACATGGTCAGACTCAGAAAAAATGGAAGAGGGCTTACACAGATTACAAAGAACTAAAATGAGAAAAAAAAGTCTTTGATGGATTAAAAATAGGTGAGAAAACTCTAAAAAATATACAACAGAATAGAAAACAAAATAAACAAAAAACCCTGCAACCCCGAGAACCTACAAACTGCCTTATACTAAATATTATGAGATTATACAAGGAAAATCAAGTTAGAAATTTTAACTATTTGATAAATGTATCTTTAACTTGCTCTTTTCTAAAAACGTAAGGTTAATACTGTTGTATTGGCAGCCAGTCAAATTTTAAGTAACAATCTGAGAACAGAAAAAGGACACTTTAAGATTTTAACAACTGAAGTTTGTTATAGAAGCAATGAGACAGAAAAAATATTGGGAAATCTATTTTGGCATTAAAGGTTTTTGTATGTTTGTCTTGTTAGACAAGACCAGAAGGCCTAATTATGTAGAAAAGGTGTGAGAAAATATAATATAAACTCTTAGGTCTGAATAGACTCATGTTATTTGTAAAAAGGACTGCTGCTCAGAAAAAGATCAATTAATTTACCTTAATTTACCATAATCTCTCTGTCATCCTTTCCAATGCCTTAACCCCTGAAGAGGGCAAAAGAGTGCTAGACCAAGCCTGCACCCATGCTACTCAAGAACCACCACCTGGTAGGTGCTGCTGCCATGCCAGAATTCAACCAAGACTGGAATTACAACTCTGAGTCAGGTATCAAGGCCCAGGACAGGTACATTATTTGTTCGCTCCATGGACTACTCAATGCCACTATGAAATCTATAAATTATGATAAGCTTAATGAAATCATACAGGACAAAAATTTTAAAAAATCTGCCTTCCTACAAAGATTGACTAATGGTCTCCATCAATATACCAATCTTGATCCCGAGTCTGTTGATGGCCAGTTGCTGGTAATGATGCATTTTTTTCTTTCAAACTACCCTGACATTAGACTTAAATTAAAAAAACCTTCAGAATGGGAGCCCTGACTCCTCCTTCTAAGGTTTTGGCCATGGTATTTAAGGCCTATCATGGCCATGACGATCTCAAAAAAACACAAAAAAAGTACCAATTACTAGCACAGGCCATCAATCCCACCATGCCACAATGGCTTCATATCAAGGGACACTTTAATAAGGGATCCTCTCACCCACCAAGACCCTGCTACCAATGTGGTCCTCCAAGGAGGTAACTGGCCAAAGAGTTTCCAAACCCCAAGCCTCCAACAAAACTCTGTCCTAAGTGCAGACAGAGGGGACATTGGGATTTTGACTGCCCCCTGATATCCACCCATCGTTGAGCCACCAGTGCCACCATTATGCCAAATGACCTCATTGGCCTTATGATGGCAGAAGATCTATGAAGAGGCCCTGGCCTATCTGGCCCAATGTGGATTACCGCTCAGGAGCCCAGGGGGACTTTCATCCGGCCAGGTAGGATGATTGCCTTTTTACTTGAAACTGGTGCCAGTTTTTCTGCACTGTGAGAATATTGGGGACCCACCTCCCTGTCTCGGACCTCTATTGTTGGGGTAGAAGGTCAACAACAGTGCTCTTGACAGACTCCTCTCCTGTCATACACAATTGGCAATTTTTCATTTCTTCATGCTTTCCTAGTTCTTCTTTCCTGTCCCATTCCCTTATTGGGCCACAATATCCTATCCAAAATTGGCACTTTCATCCACTTCATGATACAGAACCCCTCCAGCACTCCGATCTCTTCCATTTGCCTTTTGTTATCACAGGCTATCAAACTCCAGACTCCATAACCCAAATCGCCTATTAACCCTGCCCTAGTAAATCCCCGGGTGTTGGATATTCAATCCCCCTCAGTGGCCAAATGCCCTCCAATTAAGATTTTCCTTAAAAATCCTACATATTTTCCAACTCAGACCCAATACCCCCTCCCTCATTCTAGTTTAAACAGACTGACTCCAATCATCAAAAGTTTACTGAAGAAGGGATTTTGAAGCTTGCCACTTCCCCATACAACACACCCATCTTAGCAGTCAGAAAACCTAATGGGACATATTGGCTAGTTCAGGATCTCCAGATCATTAATTCAGCTGTTGTCCCCAATCCGTATACACTCCTGTCTTCTATCCCATTCAATACCACCCATTTTTCAGTCTTAGATTTAAATGAGGCCTTCTTCACCATTCCTTTACATACAGATTTCCAAGACCTTTTTGCCTTTATTTAGACTAATCCTTTGACTGGCATCTCCACACAACTAACCTGGACTGTCCTACCCCAAGTGTTTTGAGACAGCTGCCATCTGTTTGGCCAAATCCTAGCTCAAGATCTGTCTCTTCACCTTCAAGGTTTATAATGTATCCAATATGTAGATGATCTTCTCTGCTCTCCTTCATTAACTATACTTCAGCAAGATACTTATATGCTTTTAAATTTCATTTCAGAAAATGGATACTGAGTCTCACCAACCAAAGTTCAACTCTTTAAATAATGCATCATATACGTAGTGGTGTCTCAATTGCCTGGCTTCAAATATATTACTATTGATAGAAAACAGGTACTCCAAGACATTCCAATGCCTTCCACTAAACAAGAACTTCTGTCCTTCCTGGGCTTGGTGGGGTATCTCAGGTCTTGGATCCCAAATTATTCCCTTCTAACAGCCCTCCCTCTATGAGGCCTCTAAGGGAAACCCCCATGAACCAGTAAATTTCTCAATAGCCACTCCCTTTGCCCATCTCAAATCCTGCCTATTAGAGACTCCTGCCTTACACCTACCTGATCTTTCTCATCCCTTTTACCTCTATGTGTCAGAGAACAAGATATTTGCATTAGGGGTTCTAAGCCATCAATTGGGACCCACTTTTGCTCTAGTGACTTACTTCTCCAAAAGGTTGTATCCCACAGTCAGAGGTTGGGCCCCTGCCTATAAGGCCTAGCTGCCACATCCCTCCTAGTACAGGAATGAAAAAGCTCACATTCAGGTCCCCAACTGTAGTCCTCTCTCATCATTCTATTTCAGATTTATTACACTGTGAAAACCTCCATATCCTAACCCTTGCAGAATCTTGTCTCTTCAGACTACACTTCTCCATGACTCCTCGTTAACCTTCCAGCTTTGCCTTGCCCTAAATCCCTCTACCCTATTACCATCTTCCAAACAGTGCTCTCTCCACGGATGCTTAAAAACTCTTGAAAACCTTTCACCTCATGATTCCCATATACAGGAAGGACCCCTCTCTCCTCCTGATTTCATTTGATTCACAGATGGCAGTTCTCTTATTCAAAACAAGTCCAAATGGGTGGGATATGCTATTTTGTCACAGTCTGGAATTATTGAGCTGGGACCATTGCATTCTCAGACAACTAACCAAAAGGCAGAACTTATTACTCTCACTCACACCTTTAATCTGGTCTCAGGAAAAAGACTTACATATGTACAGACTCCAAATATGCTTTCCATATCTTACTCTCTCACACAGTAATTTGGTGGGAAGGAGGGTTCTGCTCCACCAAGGGCAGCTCTATCCAAAATCCCAAGTTTATCATTAAGCTCTTACAGTGCTCTAGGTTGCCCATAGCAACTGATGTCACTGAAGGGCCCACCGTTCCAATCTGTCAGAATAACTGAAGCCAATAACAATGCTGATCATATGGCAAAAGGAGCAGCTCTGACTTCAACTCTGTCACCTGTGATGGATCCCCACCAAATTGACCAGCACAGTCATATACAAAGCCTCACACAAGATCAACTCACATATCTTCATAAAATTTTCTATCCAAGCTCTAGGGTCCTACTCACTTTCCTAGACCCACTGATCACTCTCTCCCCCTCCAACAAACAATTCCACCAGATGCTCTTCTCCATCTGCAATATATGCAAAAAAAAAAAAAGTTTCTCAAGACTTGCCTCATTTCCCTCACATCAGGCAAGGGGCATGTTACCTGGCTTGGCTTGGCAAATTGATTTCACACACATTCCTAGGATAAGAAGATAAAACTACCCACTAGTTCTGCTAGACACCTTTTCTGGGTGGGTTGAGGCCTTCCCCACTACAAATAAGTGTGCTTTCACTATTTCTCTTCTACTCCTCAAATAAATCATACCTAGATTTGGACTTCCTATTTCTTTCCAGTCTGATAATGGCCCTAAATTCACTTCTCAGATAACACAAGGCCTTACAAAGCTATTAGGAATCTCCTGGCATTTTCATATCCTGTTCCATCCTAAATCATCGGAAAAGGTAGAATTGACTAGCAGGTCCTTCAAGACCATTCTCACATGACTGTCCCTAAAACTCCATACTGACTGGGTCACCCTCCTTCTGCTTGCCCTACTCAGATTTAGATTCCTGCCTAATGCTTCCCTCCAGATTTCCCCCTTTTGAATTGATGTTTGGATACCCCCTGCTGCCCCGAGGACTAAAACCTGCAGCCCTCTCCATTGCCCCTGGCTTATTAACCCAATTACTCAACTGGGTCTCATTCCAAATATGGCAGCACACAGATACACTATTGCTGTCTCTGCTCCCTGCGCTACTGATTACCTATCACCCAGGAGACTTGGTTCTCCCAGCTCCACTACAACAGAAAGACCCACTCAAACCTAAATTTCAGAGACCATTCAGAGTTGTCCTTTCAAATCCTACAGTGGTTAAATTTAAGTCCCTTCCAGGATGGTCCCATTGCTCTGTGTTAAACCATATCTTCATGCTCCTCTCCCAGTCATATCCACAGGAACTCATCTATGCTATTCAGCCACCTCCATGGGACCTCTGAAAATCAAACTTACTTATATTTCAGAAAACCTAGTTGTGCAGGATCCTTCACCATCATCCAGTCCTGAGTCAGATAAGTCAGCCAGCCTAACTGTTTACCCTCCCATTCTCTCATGGGGTATTGTGACACATTTCACACTACAGCACCCACTGATATACTAAGTCTTCTTATATTAGTAATTCTGGAACTTGTCCTTGGGATAGGATTGGCCACAGTATCTCCTCCCAAATATAATTTTACATTCAGGTGTCTACTCATATTGGCCTATTATCTCATAATTTTACTCTTTGTCATTCTTAATTGCTGGAGACAATAATGGTTCCTTTCCTGTTCCTGTTTTCTCTCCTAAACCCTACCCAAGCATATAGACCCTTGGTATACACTTTGACTCACTCCCAGATTAACTCAGCCCCCCTTCAGACCCAGGTCAGCTGCCTCTCCACTCAAGTCTACCAACAGATGGCTTACCAACTGGTACTTCAGGCTGGAGACCTAAACAAGACCACTGTGTTTATATGGCAGCCAACCAACCAACCATAGCTCAGATCTCAGCTCAGTTTGAACATTTTCTAAATGAACATTGCATTAATATTCTTCGGTTTGCTCTCCACCCTTGTCATGTTACCTGAATAGCAAATTGGGTCACTAATGCATGGCTCCAAGGAACTTTATCAGACTTCACTCCAACTGAAACAATCTTTACCTTTTTACTCATTATACTAACCCTCCAACCCAGTCCACAGCATCATTCATCCCAGGATATTCCTTTGGACTAAAAGATGTCCTCAGGATGCCCATTCTGTACCCAAACCAATGGTCCAAAACTTTTCAGACTCCTCACACCAAATTTTCTTCCATATGATTGGGCTTTAATAGATGACCTTATATATCCTCTTCAACACTATATCTATTGCACACAGGAGGCCATCTCTGTCCTAAGGGGTCCAGCATGAAGGGAACAAAACCAGACCCTACTCCCATGGTACTGCACTGTTCATCAGGAGGATTTCAGATATTCCTCCAACCCCTCTGGACACTGTCAGATGTCCACACAAGTTCCATTAAAGCCTGATTGGCCCCAACAAGTGCCTGGCACCCCCAGGCTTCCCTCAGGCTCAGACATTCCTCTTTTGGTCTACCTGTTCTGCTACAAGCCCACCTTTCCGAAAGCATACACTCTAGAAGATCCCCTTTAGGCAGAATATAACATTTATTATGTTCCCATCCTCTTTGTACTGGCCTTTCTAGACAGTATAGAAAGTTAACTACTTCCTTGGGTTGTCAACAAGATCTTCCAAGATGGAGTACACAAGGGTCATAAAGATTGGATAGGGACCTGGGTACAACAACATGGGAGGCCCGATGTAGGCCTCATACAAATTATCTTCTATCCCTGTCTCCTCCCTCATTAACTGATTTGTGTGCTTGGACTCTCTCAGGGAGCTCTACCAACAATTTCAGTGTTCATAAAACACAATGCCTGTCCCAGACAGCTTCATCGCCCCAGTGTCAGCAAAAAGCAGTTACAGAAGAATGACACACCACCTTTTTCCTGGAGTATAACATGTGCCTGCTGCTGTCTCCATCTAAACCAAAGGGGGGGGGGATGTTAGGGACCTGACACTGCCATAATAGGCCATATTCTCCTGGTTCTTCTTGACTCTTAAAATTACCTCATGAACTTATCTTTAGTTTCCCTCCCCCAAGGCCACAGCAGTCTTAGCTCAGCCCAAAACCAATAAAAGCACCTTTCTTTCCTTTGTTCTCTCTCTCTCTCTCTCTCTCTCTCTCTCTCTCTCTTTCCTCTCTCCTCTCTCCCTGACCTGCCTTCCTGAATAAAGTCTATTGGACCTCTCAGTGCATGGCCTAGTTGTTGAGCATTGCTGTCCCTCTACAATTAAAGTTATACTTTCATCCTGTATTATTTCATTAATGATACTGGTTAAAATATCAAAAATCCTGAAATTAAATGATAATTACTCAGGACATTACAAAAACTCACTTTAAGAGTTCTTACCCAACCCTTGAGCTAGAGACATGGTGTGCATTACCTCATTTATACCTCACAATATCCCCACGATGCTATCTATACATTGTAGAGAAAGGAAATGTGCATATATACAATGAAACTACTACATTTAAAAGGATGCTTACAAAAAATATAGGCAATGTTTAGTGGAATTATATATCTTCCATAATGTTGCAGATGATTGCTATTTATAAACATAAAGGCAGTCACAAAAGGTAAAAGGCAGTAACAAGCAATAAGAGATTAGAAATGAGATGTCAAAATGTCTAAAAGGCAATTGATTATTAATCATATAGAGGAACATTCTAAATTTAAAAAGAAACCTAATGATGGATATACAATATGACATATATTGTGTGTGTTATGTATATCAAAAAGTAAAAGAAGTTCGATTTGTCATTTGAAAGAATTTACCAATTTTAAAATTACAAAGAAAAAGAACAAAAAGAGTTAAAACTTGAAAAATTACAACCACCATCAGCTGTAGGAAAAGAATAATATAATTTTTAATATTTTATCTGAGGGAAATAAATCCTAATTCATCAATATAGAAGAGCTGTGCAAGAGAAAATGACAGAAATGTTTGTCTCATGAAATTTTGATGCAAAGTAGTATTTAAATTAATCCCATAGATCTTTTGTGATGAACATAGAAACATGCTCAAATATGCTTCAGCTTAATAATTAAAGAGAAAAATCCTTCTGACTTCAATGCATATCCTCCATCCTTTTTTAGATATCCTATTTATAAAACTAGATATGTTCCAATTTTTTTGGAAAATACTCTATAATGCTACTTTGATTTGTCTTATTCATTAGAATTTCTCATTTCACCACATAATATTTAACAATGATATATGCATGCATTGCAGATTCTAAGATGCAGTTTTTGGTAACATTAAAAAAGATGAAAATTAATCAAGAAAGCAAATTCAGTGATCTCAAAGCTCTGGGCCAGGTATACCTGGATTTTCAGATGACAAAGGCTAAATTCTGTCAGCTCCCCTGTTTGCTGAGCCTTTTAT